CCTTATAAGACCCCATATACTCAAATTTTTAATTATGAAAAGTCCCTTTGCTGCCCAAGCAAACATTGAATTTTCTCCATGTCCATGGGCTAGAAAAAAAATGTGGGCAACAGCACTGGCTGCAGCTTAATCATAAAAAAATACAATTTTCCTTGAAATATTTGCATTTCGTGTACTATATTACTGCATTTGGCCCACCCCCCTCAGATTGATTTTAATTTTGGCCCTTTAAGAGAAAATGTTTGGGCACCCCTGCTCTATTTATATGATAAAAATTACACAATGATAACAAATGCTACACAAGTCTCAATTTATGTAAAAAAAAAAAAAAACATTTAACAAAACAACAGAACACATTTACATTTATAACAATAAAAACTATCAATCTTAAGCTAAGATTTTCAGTTTTTATTATGTTGGCAAATACATACATGAATCAGCTTGTGAGGATACAAGAAAAAAAAACATCAGCCCATAATATTGGCCGGCCAGTCGACCTCTAGCTGAATGACTGCTTAAGTTTGCTAAAAAGCTAAAACTGAGATTTTACAGATTAAGCAGAACTGAGGCTAAAATGAGCAGAACACAAGCTAAAAGCTARAAGTAATAGAGCAATAGCTAAAAGACAGAATCAGCTAACAGATCCAAACTAGTCTAAATCTAAAACTAGTAGCTGGCACTGCCAAAACAGATGCTACTTTTAGAAAAATTGTATCTAATAAAACAAAAGCTAAATCTAAATTGACAAAACAAGTCCTAAAATTTGCCAAACCTGAAGGTGAACGCTACAAGGAGCAGAATGAGGCAGAACAATAGCTAAAAGCTATGATTGACTTATGATTGCAATAAACGGGTAAAAAACATCCCAGGGCGTGAATACTTTTTATAGACACTGTATAAAACGTGAAGTAGTGATACCAGGTGATGTAATGGCAAAACATAATCACCACAAAACTTAAGAGGCTTCTAAAAGGGCTCATCTTAAAATCTGTGCTTTGAGTCTTATCACTGTTTGATAAGAAACACTGAAGCCCAGGAGCTGACAGCCTGTTTATCTAAAGAGACTTAACCAATGCACCAATAACATTTTGCAAATAAAATCCACACATTTACTTTGCTACTAGTATTTTAACCCAAAATAAAGCACTACATGAACCCCTGATTTTATTTTATCTCATGTATAATTACAAACACAAGGCAATAAAACGGTGTGTCTGTCTGGGGGCATGAGCCAAAACAATTTTAATACTTCACAGTTCACACACATGAAGAGTTTTTAATTCCTAATCTAGGCTATCTATAGTGCACATTTTGCCAAAACCACTTCTTTTTTGTTATTAACCCAATGGGAATATTTTATACGTATAAAAACATGTTAAACTTACATTAGTTGTCCAAATGTGGCCTGCGAGAGCTTCAAAGTTGTATTAATGTCTTAAAATAAGCTGCTTTAATGCCAGCACTGACCATAAACTACATCTCCCATAATGCATGTTGATTATTTTAAATGACATCTCACCACTTTCCCACCAGAARTACTATTTTAAATGTACACTGCTATCAGCTTCTTTATCCTATTAAGCTGGGACTGTTGGAGACTCCCTGGCTACTCAAAATTGCAGGAAAATTGGCTGTTTTTTTTTTATTGAGGTCTCTGATTTCTGAGTGCATCTAGTTGTAGCACGGCAGAAATATTACATACCTGCAGGAATGTAAGACAAATATGAACATTTGAAAATAGTGTTTAAGGGTGCATTCAGACCAGGAAAGTCCTTTGGTCCAATTGTTTGGTCCGGACGAAAAATTGACTTTTTTTTTTCATTTGGTGCGGTTTGCATTCACATTGTGCTTTTTTGCAAACAAACTATAACTTGTAAACAAAGCCATGAGGCTGACGATCATTGCTCCCATTGGACAAAAAAAGGATGGGGGTGGGACTGAGCCACAGACCCAGAAGAAAACAAGGAAGTCCTGCATGCTGCGGTTCTGATCTGCACATTTTTGCTGATAGTACAACTGCAATAGMATTTAAAATGTCAGAAGCAGCTAATTTAATGGTGCTTCCGTGATATATTCTAATTTTGGAGTGACGTCACGGAAATGTGTCCCGCAACCTAAAGGAGACGAGGTGCTCTGCGTGTTCTGACCCACAACATGCCGGCAGTAGAGCTGCTAACAGCAGACGACAAAACAGGTATGATTTCAGTTTATTTAGCTCAGCAACGGTGGCCTGTGAGGTCTAAAAAGGTGCATGTTTAATGCAGTTGGTTCGGTTAGAGTCCGGTCTGTATTCACACCAGAAGTGAACTGAAGTGAACCGCACCAGAGTTCGTTTGGAAGCGGACCGAGACCTCCTCAAAAAGCAGGTCTYGGTCCGGTTGTTTGATCCACACCAGAGTTCGCGTGAGTGTATTCAGACCTGCAGAAAAGGTCCGGACCAACGCTGGAAACAAACTCTGGTTCGTTTAAAGCGGAGCAAATTGTCTGGTCTGAATACGACCTTAATAAACCTCTATGAATTTTTCTTTAGAGTTGTTTTGCGTAGACAAAAACCCACTGTTGTCTTGCTCTTACACTAGTTTGTAAATCCAATCAGAATTAAATATTTTTTCCAAACTAAAAACACTGAAAGATGCATCTACAACATGTAAGATGTTAATTGTACTTTTAATATATTTTATTTCCATTCATAACTTAATAATAAAACAATCTATATTTATATCATGCTGATTTGGGGAACAACAACTCATATTTAGGATTTAACTAACTATTGAATATCATAATTTAAAACAATGATAAAGACAAATTCTTGAAGACGACGTAATAATAATGCCAGGACTTTTTAATTTGGGAGAGTTAAAGCTTTGGTGGGTGAAATATAATCCCACAGCAACTAGGCTGTAACTGGAGTCTGGAATGTAATGTGAACTGGGCCCCAGCTGGGCCACATGGTGCTTTTAACACCAGCTGGGAAACTAAACGCCAGGTTTCTGTGTCTGAGCACAATGAAGCAGTCATTTACCAGAGGGAGCTGTAACTGAAGTAACTGCTGGGTACAAAAAAAACAAATTAATTAATCAAACTTTGCCCGTATTCAACCTGAAACACCAAACTCTTGTGTTTTCCAAATGAGTGAATTCTTTCCCAGCTCTAAGCCATGCCCTGCAGGCCAGGCCGTCATGTGAGTCCTGCAGACTTTGTCCCAAACCTCAGCAACAGGTTGCTCCTGTGCAACTTCAGCGCTTAATCTACAACCAGAGGTCACCTGTTTATGTTTTCACTTCATACCGGAGTCCACAAAGAGTTCAAGCCATGCAGAGGAACAAAGTGTTGCTCCATTTACGTTTTGAAACAGCAGCTACTATTTCCTCCCTTGACAAAACCACCCATTTGAATAATAGCACACATCTTGCTCTGCAAGTCATCAAACCAATATCAACATGCTACTTGAAAACACAACAAAAGCTTACCTATGGGGCAGATTAAAGAATTGAAATGTGTGTTTGAGCTTATACAGACATCATAAAATATGAAGTTAATGCTCATTTTTAAATAAATTTTAAGTTTTGTGAACGCATTGCTGGAAAAGGCTAACTTTGTGGAATAAACTTTACTTTTTTTTTCATTCAAAGTGACTATTTTAACTGTAAAAGTCTGCCGAATTAAAGATTAGCTTTTATAATATCCAAAAACAATATTCTATATTTCAAATGTCTTTTTTAACTCAAACTACAGGAAGATGTATTTAAATGCGGTGTTTTTATTATGAGGTTTGGCGCGTTGACCAAAGGGGACTGAACAAACCGCAGCAGCGTTATAAAGTGACAGTTTACGACTCATTCATGAGGATTAAAATTAAAACTGTGTCACAGCCACATACCACAGCGGCCGTCTCTCTGGTTCTGGGCGCCGTGGTTCGTGTTCGCCATGCCGGCCGGGGGGGAYGCTACAGGTGGGTGACAGGTACCCGCCGCCCGGAGTGGTCCATGATGATGCTGTGGTTACGGCGGCACCATCTCCTCCTCCTCGGCTCCTTCAAGGCAGCTTAACGCACACAAACAGCACCAGTCCCGGTTCATCTACCGTCACATGAAGCCACTGTAGGGGGGAAAAAAGCGACTGGTGAACACAAATACCACGTCGCTGCTCTCTTCCTCAGCCAAGCGCACTTCACTTGCTGCCGACGCCAACTCACTCATTTCAACACGGCTTCCTCAAGCGGAACCAAACTCAGTTCAAACTACAGAGGACGCTTTTCTCTGCCGCTCCGCCGGCAAAGAAACTAAACTAAACTCGTTGCTGATTCTTGAATTCAATCTGAAAACACATTTAAGACGTTTCGCCTGTGATAATGAACATTTGTCGTACCTGTTTTCGCCGCTTCCGCCGCCATTTTAAAACAAACTTGTACGTGGAGAGCCGTGTAATCGAGTCCAGAACAATCAGCTCGATGTTTCACCTGGATGGACCTGAAGGCATCACCAATCGACCTGATACCTGCACGTTCACTTCTGTCAGGCAGTAAAATACATTCAACTAGCATTAAAAACAGTTTATATACATCATTTATTCCATTCAGGTTGGACTATTCTTTATCATCAAGATGTCCAACAACTCTTAAAATAAATAAAATACTAATAATAATAATAATAATAAATAACTTCAGCTGCAACCAAATCCATTTGTAGGCCTATTATGTATTTTCCAGGCATGTTTTTTTCTTTATTTATTTATTTCAATCATGATTTAAAATATGAGTACAAAACAACAAGTCATCCAATAATAAAATAAATATTAAAAAGAGAAACGAAAAATAAAATAAATGCACACAAAATCAAAATGTCAAGGAAAAAAGAAGTCATGAATGAAAAGGAGCAGAAAGAAGTATAAACTTATAATATCTGCCCTTACTCGCAAAATAACATCAACCACAAACTCAAAAGTTCACCGTCAGCATACGGTGAAAGTAACTCAACACACAAAATTGCAACAAAACAATACTTTAGACCAGTGTTTCCCACAGTGGGGTCCCGAAACGTCAAGGTGGGGTCCTGAAAAGATTTTCTGAATTAATTACATTTTTGCCTTAGTTGTTACAAAGGACTGAGGTTAGTGTATTTAAAATGGATAAATGTAGTATAAAAAATGTTGTTACTTTGTCCATGTTTTGTTGACCTGATACAAATGTTTATCCAAAAATAGCTGGGGGCACAGGTCTCTGCTACTGTTATTCTGTGGGTCAAAAGCTGAAAAGTTTGGGAACCACTGCACTTTGGTTCCCAAAGTTGGGCTTGGGACCCAATTATGGGTCATGAAGCACCTTGGATAATCTCCAGAAATCAATTTAAAGGGTAATAAAATAATTGCTGGTGTAATATTTTCCCTATAACTATTACAAAAACACAAAAAAGTATAAATAAGTATTTATATTTGTGTACAAGCTGTTTAGATTGTCAGAAAGCCTGTGTTTTTAGGGTTATTAATGAAGTTCATGTACTCAGACCAGTAATATTTGGGGTCACAAGTCTTTGCCATGGATATTTTGTGGGTCAGAAGATAAAAAGTTTGGGAACCACTGCTTTAGACATTATAACGCTTCATCATAGTAATTTTCAAGTTTTTTTTAATACAATAAAAGATTTTGACTGTTTTATCTCACTATCAGGACCGTTCCGCAAACTAACACCCTTGAGATACATCTTCCCTTTAACACATCTGAATCTATGTTTTTCAAAAGTCTCAAGACGTTTTAAATTATATATGCTTTCTCTTTTGATAAATCTGCTTTGAATGTTGTTATGTAACATATTTTTATGGGCTTTGTACATGAATTTTAAGATCGTACTTAATGAAATCATTGACCTTCAGTAGATTCATCTCTATAAATATCAGGTTTGTATGATCTCTGAAAACACCTCTCAATTCTATACAACAAACAAGTAAATATGTTACTTTCAGTTGTTATGAAAACGCTGAATATATTAAAAAATAAACTTGACGATGATCAAAAGTCAAATTTGCATAATATCCCTATTCTTCAAACATCTTCTTCCATCCATCATCTTTTATCCACTTCTTCCTTTCAGGGTCACCAGTGGTGCTCATATCCAGGACACCATGGGACACGACAAACAACCGTTCACACACATGTAGGGACAATTTTTAGAGTTAATAATTAACCTAACATTCATGTTTTTGGCCTGTAGGGGAAAACCAGAGTACCTGGAGAAAACCCACACACGCTAGRGAGGTCACAGGTCAGGATTCAATCCATCAACCTTCTCCCTGAGAAGTGAGTTTTACCAACTGAGCTACTAAGATCTTCTTGTTCTATTTGTGACCCATCATGTCAAAATGAGGATTAAGTCAAATTTGGTCAAAATGACCTAATCAAATTTTCAGATTCCTGCTTTAAAAGCTTCATTTTGATACCTGGATCATTCTGATACCAAACTTATCCAGAGATATGACTTCATTTGTTTTGTTGGTTAGAATAACACATTACTGTTTGGTCTGAATCCTAATTTCATGTAAATTTATTGAGTGATTTTTGATGTCAATATAAAAAGGAAACCTCAAATAGTATTTGTGCATTAAGCTTTCCCAAATGGAAAGAAACAAAAACATTAGCTCACAGGGAAATTTTCAAAACCTTAAGGCATTCTTCTTTAAAATCAGGGGTTTGTTGCTACTGCTAAAAAAAGTGCTTGAAAAATATTTTTTAGGATTATATTTCAGACAGTTCATTCAAATGATACGTTTATAAGGCATTAATTTGTTATATTTTGACAAAATGCAATTTTTGCACGTTTAACACTAATTTCTCCACATTTCACTTTTGTACTTAATCCTCGTTTCGATGCGATGATGGGTCACATATTTTCCTAGCAGAGCACTTGGCTGTCAGACTGCAGGTTTACTCGTGGTTCCCAGAGTCTCTATAAGTAGAATGGGAGGCAGAGCTTTAGGTTTTCAGGCCTCTCTGTTGGAACAAACTTCCAGTTTCTGTCCGTGAGGCTGAAACTCTGTTTACTTTTAAGATCAGGTTCAAGTCTTTTCTTTTTTGATAAATTCTATCTTTAGGGTTGGTAAGACTGGGTTTCATGCAGGGGTGGAGCCAGCAGGGGGGGGGCCATGGCCACCATGGAAAAATCTTTGGCCACCCCAACAGCTGCTTTTGCAACATTTTGGCRAATCCATTTCTATAATGTTCAACTGCACTGCTCAAATCAGTAATTCTACATGGTAGTCACTGTTCATGCACGTAAAAAACAGAATAAGCAAGAAACACAATTAGATCCTCAGAAAACTGCCATGTAGGGAAATAAATTACTTTTTTTTTTTTTTTGGCTGACTCCACGTGTGACCAGTGGTCCCAGTCTGGCCACATTTATAAAATCTTCCAGGCTCTTCTGTTAGTTTCTGCTGCGATCAGTTTAGACTTCTGGAGGACAAACTGACCACCCTTCCCCACTCTGCCGCCGACTCATTGACCTGTTTTTGCTTTTGTTTTCCTAGAAACTACACCTGGAGCAATCCTTCTGTTTGTCTCTTTTCTGCTGGCAGAAGCAGAAGAATTTCTGCATGATTTGCCTCGGATTGGATTGATAACTTTCAAAAAAGTGCTGGAGATTACTTTTATAATGAATTGAAAATTATAACTGGATTGAACTAAGCTATACTTCAACTATACATAGTTGAGATTGATGTATTTGTACAGGCTTTAAATAAACTGATGAGAAATTAAGCGTGGTCATTGGAGATGTTTTCAACAGGAGTTAAAGCCTAAAATGTTCAAAAAAAAGTTTCAAACTTGTAAGCAGGAAAACACTGAGGAAGCATTTAAATATAAGAACAAATATGTGTGGTTTAAAACTGAATAACTTTAATATACTCAAAACAGTACAACAGATAAGGTCAGGAGTTCATATGGTTGATGCATCAACCCAAAAAGTACATTGAAATATTAACTTAGTTGTTTCAAGTACAAATATTACTAAGCTTTTGAAGAAAGTGTCCTATCACCAACTAAATTGTTTTATTCCATTTGTTTATTTTAAAGTTAATGAGTTCTGAAGACCTCAGACCGTGAGAACCACTGATACAGGACTGGTTTGTGTGGAACTAAACGGCTCTCTAGCATCACCATGAGGTCATGTTGTGACACTGCAACATCAGTGCTAAGAAACAGAGCAACACGCTTTAAGGTTTGATTTATTCCTTTATTAGATGTTAAGAAAATCCACAATGAAACAAAATAATTTACTCAGGGTGTACATGAAATCAGAACACATCTACTCGGGACAGATGGGATTCAGGAACATAAAGGAGGAGGGGAAGGGGAGGAGGAATGAAAAAAGGACCAGGAAAACTCGTGTTTTCACTGCTGGTTATGTTCTTTAGAAACTCAGCAACCCTTTTTATTCCTTGAACACATTTTCCTGTCGAACATTTTGTTTTTCTGTCCTTGTTTTAAAACAGAACCTATCAAAACGGGAAGAGAAAGATGGGATCCATCCCATGTAAATGTTTCTTGTACACAAACACAGAGCATTCTCTCACTGATTTCACCTCAATGTTTTTTTTTTAACTAAAATGTGTTCAACTTAAAAAGATGGGAGTGTGATGTTTTTGCATGCTTTATTTCTCAGAAACATTCCAAAAGTTTTWTTTTTTTTTTTTTCTCGGTTGTCCCTCGCTCAAAAAGTAACCCGCATGCAAAAATACCTGCATGTGTCTCCTTTTCCTCTCCAATGTTTACATGTGCCAAGGTGTTGCATAGAACTCAGGGAACGTCCCTCCACACTGCTTATGCAATCCAACAATGGCTTCTTTTTTCAGTTTTATTTTTATTTAAACTAAAGCTCTACATTAATGTCAGCCACATCTGATTTGCCTTGAAATAAACTCCTGTCAACAATTAAAAAGAAAAAAAAGAAAAGTACATTAATGCATCAATACAATGTCACAGGTCTGAGTGTATGCGTGTATTAAAAAATTCCTGAGTATCTGACTGTCAAAGAAAATGGGGGTGAGGGGGGGAGACAAGATCCTGAAGCTGCGCAAGTTTTTTTTTTTTGTTCTATACTTTTATTTTTTTGACCTACAAACAAATCTTAGGCTTAAACAAACTTTGTTAAAGCAGAAGCCATTTCCCAAAGCCATGCTCAAACTATATGCCTTCACCAGGGACAGCACGCGACAGCAAACACACTTTCACTTCATCGCTAAAGGGAGGAGTTTAAATATCTGTGCTTTACTTTCCTTCTATTTGTGACAATAAACCTGCACTTCAACTATCTTTTTAGRCTGATTAAAATAAGTTTTTTTTCTTTTGGGGGTGGGAGAATAATGCTATTGAGAAACACAAAGCATTTATGATTCTATTCAGTTTGACTTTTCAAACATAAAATTCTGATAAAGGTTCCTAAAGCATGGCTCAAAGATTTTGTAGCTAATTGTTTCTTTCAGATTTACGACACTGCTCGGATGCGTATGTGTTCCTGTGAACGTCCGATAGATACAGAAACATATTGCTGGCACCCCAGAAAAGAAAAGAAAAAAAATAAAATTAATTTATCTCAATATATTGTGAAAATGTTATTAGAGCAATACTTTTGTTCGAACAAAATGTTTTTGCATTATTACAACATATAAACTTGTTTGGGTTATAACAGTAATGCAAGATTATTTTTATCTTTTCCTAAAGTGACAAATTTTTTTAAAAAGTTCAAATTAATGTGATAAGTACAACGGTGTATTAGGGCCATTTTGCGGATGAAAAATTAAAAAAAGAGTAAATCTCTGCCAAAAAATAAATAAAAATCAGAAATTTTGAGATTAGTTTTAGGATTTTTTCAGGGGGAAGGAAATTCTCTGAGCTCAAAAAGTCAGAAATTTGCAAAAAAGAAAAAAAATGGGATTATTTCAGAAATTTAAGGGAAAATAGGAAATTCTCTTTTCTAGAAAAGTCATAAATTTGTGAAGAAAAGAATTCAAAAATTTCCATGATTGTAAATTTCTGACTTTACAATGTCAGAAAAGCTCTAGTTTAAATATCACGTTTTTGTTTTTAATCGTGGAAATGAGTTTTCTTTGTGCAAATTTACGACTGAGCTCAGAATTTCCTTTTTTTTCTTTGAAAATTCCTTAAATTAATCTCAAAATGAGTTYTTGGAGATTTACTCCTCTTTTTCAACTGCAAACCATCCCAAATACGCCATCATAGATAAGTGTATATATATTGTAATAATGTGGAAAATATGAATGTACATAAAAATATACCATTAACTTGAAAATTTTTTGACAACTTTACCAATAAACTTTTCATGTCAACAAATTGTTTTCACATTAATATACATAACAAAAATGTAATCCCATCTAATTTTTATCTTGATGAAATTGTCTAAAAGTGTTAACTTGTGACAAGTTTGTATGCTGTAATATTATGAAAACATTTTGTGTGAGAAATCTGTAAAATATAACGTTAATGTAAAAAAATGTGTTGTTCGAACTATATTTTTTTTAGACATATCGTTCTGTGTTTTTAAATTTTGCAGGAGTGGCAGCTTCCATTTATTGGAGTCAAACATTTGAGATAAAAGTTCAAAAACAATCTGAACCAGTGTCTTCACGAGTTCTGTCACCACACTAAAAACAGTGAGACAATCAATGTTTTAACAAGATATTTTGCAAAACAAAGAAAAAAAAAAAAGAAAAACACACCTCATATGAAACAAATCTTAAGAGTAATTACTGATGGTTTATTTGGTTTGATGTTTGCCCCACAGCTCTTGTTTACGTGTTTGCCCGGTGGACAGTCTGGTGGTTTTGTCTGTTTTGTTTTTTTGGGGGGTTTTGAACTGAAAAGTTTCATTGAAAAATGGGCTTTAAATATATTTTATGCCTCAGCAATTAGAGGTCAAACAAAATAAGGTGTTACCTTAAAATAAACAAAACAAACCACATTAAACCAGAACTTTTTTTTGTTGTTTTTTCAAATTATATTTATGGAGTCTGCCTGGCCAACAAAATATGCCATCAACTTATTATAGCTGTATTACTGAACTGCAACTTCAAACGATTTCTGAACATATTTATAGCACCAATAGTCTGTACCATAGAAATGATAAAACAAAAAAAAACAAAGCTTTGTTTAGTTGCAACACAACTGTCTGGAGAAATGGTTGTGCCGTCTCGAGTTTTTACCTCAAAGCATTTTTTTTTGTAATTTTTGACCCCAATCTTTTACAGCTTTGCATTTTAAACAAGATTGGTATTTTTCCTACAAAACTGATTATTTTTCTGTTCAAACGTTTTATTTTAGCCTCACAAACCACACTATTTCTAAACTAGGCTTTGAAAGACTTTCACCATTCCAAAGGAAAAAAAAGACAAACTTCACACACACAGGGAAGTTATGGATGTTTAGAAGAAAGCTGCACACATTCTCTACTTCACATTCAGAAAAATCATCCACACAAACTATTTGAATTCAACTCTCGAATGGTTGAAAAAGTAAAGCTCTCTACAAAGGTCTTTCTGAACTGAAGATGGCCAAGCAGAGGATGCGGTAGCAGTCGTTTCACACGACATCAGTTTCAACTAGAAGAAGCGGTGTGAGACCGGCTGGACGAACACATGCACAACCATTCGGATGCCACCAACCACCAAAATCTTGGTTCAAACTCAAAATGGTGGGAACAAAAGCTGAGAACAGAACAAAATGTTGTCTCTACAAGCTAACTGTGAGTTCTGAAGAGGATTGGTGAGCAGAAGAACTATGGCATCACTCAGACAGAACATGTTTTTTTTGTCGTTGTTTTTTAAGTATTTCTACTTTTGCTTATTTTGTTGATCTGATTGTTGATTACACAAGGTTGTTTTGAAGTTAGTAAATGAAAAACCAACAGGGGTTATGTGTTGGGGTTTCRGAGAGGTGTCTCAGAAAAGTAGCCTACGTTAGGTTTGCCAGCTCTGAGATGACCCTGAATCTATGCTGGTAGAGGTCCAGTCCCAAGAGCGGGGAGGTTTCCTCTCTGTGACAGGTGTCCTCTGCAAAACCGGAGACTTCAAATGTTGCTGCTCCCTGAAGGAGGAAAAAAAACAAAACAAATCAGTTAGGTTGTTGCAAAACAAAATGTGTTTTTCTTGATTTAAAAGCTGCAGGAGATCTGCTGGTTGTAAATTAATTCAGCTCTAATTTGAACTCTTGCACACACTAGGGGTCTGTTTTGTTCAGGCCAAAACCTGTAGCACCTCTGAGGTCCATCCATCCATTATTTTTACCCAGTTCTTCCTTCCAGGGTTAAAGCCGTCWCTGTGTGAGGGGCGGGGTACACCCTGGACAGGTCACAAGTCCATCACACCTCGAAGCATTAAAAGTGCCGTTCAAAAATGGTTTTATGACCACAGTCACGGTTCAGTTGCGCTCCAATGAGCTGAAAGTAACCAGTCATTGAGTAAATGGAGCTTCTCCACGTTGCTGTTGGGATCATACGTTCATTCAAACAGACAGTCCCTGCTGCTTCTCTTTTCCCTTCTCACATGGCGAGGACACAGTTACACCATTTTTAAAGAGATGCTGATGCTGTGTTWAAACACAGCACTGCGTGCAAACTAGATATTTTGGTTATAGTTTTGAAAACCCCACCTATTTTACAATGAACGCTCCAACAACSTGAAAACTGGGCTAACTGCTGGGTTCAGTGGCAAGGAAAGACTTCAGCCGTAGACSTAGTTTTCTGTCTAAAACCTCAAAACAATTAATACTTTACCTGTTGTAGATAGTGTCTTAAGATGCCTCAGTTAGGAGACAGAGTTTAGTTCTGACACAAATATTGAGCTAACAGCTAGTCGTGACACAAAGCAGWTTGCTGCCATCATAAACAGAAACTTTTGAGTTGTTTTGAGACGGTAGCAGTTCACTTTGAMTTTAGCTGCTTTCATACCTGTTAAATTCACCTCCACTGACTAGACTATTTAAAAACCTTTTACACAGAAATGTTCTACAATAGACCACTTTTCCTTTAAGGGTGTAAAAATTTGAAAATGGTCTTTAAAAACAAAACACGGTATAGCCTTCATGAGTAAAACTGTCTAAATCGGCTTTAAGAAGAACAGAAGTGAACGGGTACAGTTGAAGGCCCACATTACCAAGAACTTATTATTAGTCTCATTCCGACTCCAAAATACTGTATATACACTAGGTGTGCACCAAAAAAAATAGTTTTACAACAGAATCGTGGATCTCATTTACAAAGATTCAAAATCGATTTAAAATGTCCCAAAATCGATTTTTATAAATAAAAAAACAAAGTAAATCCAAAGGCTGTCAGTCTCCAATTTGTAACTACATGATGACGTCCTTACATCATGTAGCTGCTTCTGGAACATATGAATGTGCAGAAAGCACCAAAACAAAGAGGAAACTACAGAACTGCAGGAAAGAAAGATTCAAATGGCCCTGTCTTCACCGAATGTTAAGATTTGGGCTCATTTTGTTTTTTACTGAATGAATCTGAGTTTGACATGAGGGAGGTGTGCGAGATTTGCAAAATGAAGATAAAGCACGTTGGGAACACAACAAATGGGCTCACATTATCAGTTTTGAATGAAAAATCAATTTTGAATTGAATCGTGGCCCCAAAAATCTGAATCGAATCGTGACAGATTAAAAGATTCCCACCCCTAATGTGTACCCCCTAAGATTCTGTTTTGATCAAATCCAACAGCGTTCTAATTGTCCAGGGGACAGAGTTTTAATGAAAATCAAAGTCTGAAATTTAGATTTACCTGTACAATGAGATCCAGGGAAAAGTGGGGAACAAACTGCATTCTGCCACCAGCACTCATCTTGCTGGTTACCAGTTCCACCCTGCCCACTTAGATTTAACAGAGGAAACTAGACAAGACAAAGAATAATTAGTTGTTGTTTCAGGCGACCACACAGAGACCTACCAGCTTACAGATGTTTTGTTTTTTTGTTACCTTTAATAACACGTTAACTGAAACTAATCAAATTGTTATTAAGAAGCACTTACCTCTGGCACATCGCCAACATAGTCATAGGCAATCCCATACTTTGGGATCTGACTTGCTGGTGAACATAAACAGGACCGTTTTTCTCCTGAAGTTTCCTCTGCTTGAATCTCGCAGACGTCGGTCTGTTCACCTGCGCTTGATGCTGCCGTTGCCATTTCGCAATTTAAGCAACTCTCTTGCTCAGAGATCGGCAGGAGGGTGCTAGAACCCTCCTGTGAATCCAAAGAGGTCTGGGCACTTTTCTCCATGCCAGACTTCTTTAATCTGGGTAAAAATTTACCAGATTCCAGTTCTGACTTCCCATAATAAGGGCCCTCGCATTCTGCATCCTCCTCCAAAGGTTTTAGGTCTGCCTGAGGATCATCAAAGACGTCCACCGGTGCTGCCGTAGGAAAACTCATCTCCTCTTTGTCKGTCTCGGCCTCCGAATCGCTCACTCCACCGGGAGACAACTCGGAGGTCGATATTGGTCGGAAATGAGTCCTAGGGGAAATGCGAATGGCTCTATACTGTGTTCGGTTGAGGCCATATATTCGTGAGTGGAAGGCCTCACTCTCAGAGTCCGAGCAAAGGATGGATTTAGGCTTGAATCCTGGACTGAAAGAAGCCATGTCCTCGGGCTCAAAAGAACACTCTACATGGAGGACTTGAGAGAAGGGATTGTTCAGGTTAAAGGATGCAAAGGGATATTTTAAGCTTTGCTCCTCGCGATGCCAGCCTCCGCAAGATCCAAGCAAATCTTCATGGAAGATCAAAGAAAATCCCTTATTCAGTCCATCTCCACCTCCTCTACTGGCTTGGTCGCTCTGCCCGAAGGAAACGAGGGGCCTCCACAGGGGCCTGTGTCCGGGGGCAAAGCAGCTGCCAGGGTTCATAAGCACATCTCTCCCAGTGATGGTTAGCATGTCTGAGCCAGACACRGAGGCAGCTGCAGCGGCACATTGTAGCAGGTTTTCCTGGGTATCACCTGGTGGCACAACAGCCCAATTCTTATCACCGCTTAGTGTTTTTAACTCTCCATACACCCCTCCAAGGATGAACGATGTACTATCCTTGTCAGAGTTCAAGTCCCAGGGCTTGGACGGAGTCATATAATCCCCTGCAGCATCTACCTTGGAGAGTTTGTTTTTGGCTATGTCCTGTTCTTCCTTCTTGCCTTCCCAGAGGTGATACTCAGACCGCTGCACTGCTTTTTTCTCGGGTCCCTGAACTGGAACTCCTTTTGTCTGGACCTCTAGACAGTTGCAACAATAAGCGCCCGGCTCATCTGAAAAAAGCCCCTTGTTTGATTTTTCTGCTCCGTGCTGAGACACGGCAGAATTACCATCTCCAATTGCAGTCCAAATGTCTTTTATTATCCCTGAGCTGTAATCATCACTCTGTTGGTTTGTGTTGTCCGAAAACATGCCAGTGCTGTACCGTTTACTCTCATCCTCTTCCAGTGCTATGCCACAGACGGACTCCAATTTAGATTTTTTGGTGAAGGTCTGACTGGACACTGTGCCAACGCTGACCTTCTCAGATTGTTTGCCAGAGTTCTCTTGTAAAAACTCTAAGATTTCATCTTCCAGATATGTACCGGAGAGAGGAGGGATAACACAATCTGTCTCTTCGTTGCWAATTTGAGCAGCGTCCTCTGCCGGTGCGTTTCCCAGCTCGTTGTCTGACCGAGTCTCCTCCGAATGGGACCATGGGCTGCAAGTTCGTGTTGATAGGTTGGAACAGTGTTCAGTTTCGTCAAAGGCACTATTTTTGGTCCATATTAGCAAACGTGACTGTTTATTTGAATGCGGGTCGAGACAGCTACTAGAGTCCGTGTTGTTTTCGTGACCAACGGTGAGTGAGTCTTGGGGGAAGGGAAAAGTGGGGCTTTCATACTGCAGCTCGAAAATGGAGAAGCAGGATGAGTTTAAACCAGATGGCTCACTGGTAGCTTCAGGAGCAGGTGGCTCTTCCGGATTTTTACGTAGCTTACTTAGGGTCAGAGAAACACTATCCAGAAGAGGGGAGAGCCGAACGGGAGAGTCCGCTATGAAGCTTTCTCCATCAATATCTTCGGAAGTGGATGGTGAATAGTATCCCCACATCTGAACCATGTTTTCAAGATCCTCCATTAAAAACCCAACGGATCCTGAAGCTTCCTGCGAGTCTGCCCGTATTGCACTTTCCCCTTGCTGCTCAAGGCCATCTAAGACTAAACAACATTCTGCCTCGTTGTCTGCTTGCTCTTTGCTTTTCTGCCGAATCATGCTTAAGATTCGACTCTCTTGTTTCGTGTCTGAGGCACTAGTATCCAATATGGATTGATAAATATCAACTTCATAGAAGTGAGTAAATTCGGACAGATGCTTGTCATCTAAATCTCTACTATCCTCTGGCTGAGGGCAGCCTGAAGTTCCAGTGAGGTCAGCAGTTTCATCGTATGCTTCGCCGGGCCCCTCCACAAAGTGCCCATCCACAAACGAGCCTGCCGCTAAATAGGCTCTCTGGTGGTTCTCATTGGTAATGCAGATTCCCTGGATTTGTTCTGGCAGCCTCTCCCTCTCCGCAGACAAACCAAAGCCATCCGGAGAGCCGACCTTGCTTCGATACTTTGTTTCAAGCTTGCTTTGACAGCTGCTGAAAGGTACAAAGTACTCTGTGATGGGTTCAGTGTACCAAAGCGGCTCCTCCATGTACTCTTTGTTTCTGGCCTCAACCCTGGACTCTCTTGCTTCCGCCCAGCCTGGATCTTTATGAATCTCCTTCAGCGGTCGCTTCCCCTTCTTGTAAAGCTGTGGTTGTTTGGCAGCGCTGCCAGCTGTGCTGCTCCCACTCCCTCCTGTGTTTCTTCTCTCCTCTTTATCAATGAGCTTCATCTGCAGCTTCACCTGCCCGCTGTTGCGTGTTCTCTTCGTTTTGCCAGCCTCCCTGGATTTGTGCCTCACTCTAACTGTTTTGCTTCTGGATGACTTGGAGTCACCCTGGTTCCCACTTGAGCTCGAACCTGCCTCACTAGAGCCAGAAGACCAGGATCTGGGTCGATATTTGCCCTCAGATCTGTGTCTAGTCTGTCTCTTCGTGAGACCAGTAGGTTTCACCTCTTCAGCGGCACCACTGTGGTATCGGTTCTCTTTCTCCTTCTTGTTTCGTCGTTGCTGGCATCTGTCGCTGGTCACAGTAGCGATGGTGCAGCACGACTCCAGGTTTCGCTCCTTTGTAGCTTCGCCTTCACTGTTGCAGTCTTTGGGGGAGGATGTGTCTGTGCTGGTTTGAGGGGCTGCAGAGGATGATGAACTGGAGTAAGCGCAGGCCTTTGCCTTGTTCCACACCGTCATGATCTCTTGGAGACAAACAGGTTTCTCAGACAAAGGAGGAAAGGCTTCATAATACCTGCAATCAAGAAACAAAATTGCATTTAAATTAAAACAGTCATCCAAATATAAAAAATATATAAAAAATATAAAAATATCATCCAAATATTATAAATACCGCCACTTAATATCCACAACCACAAAGCTTACATTTCCACCTGATCCTTTGAAGAGGGAGAATCAGCTCGCTCTGGTGACTGAGAGCCATCTGATTTCTTCTGAATGCACTTGTCTTCTGTAACATAAACCAAACAACAAAACATATTATTAGAACACTTACGATTTAGTAAATTATCCTTATCATCTGCAGCTTTCTAAATATAACACATAATCAAACCTTTCTGTTTGTTCTGGATGTCCTTAAGTTTGGAGCAAAGCTCTTCAACCAGGCTCTCAATTCCAGAGTTCTGTACAGGAAACAAAGACAAGAGAAGGATTTGAGGTTCATATCGTTCATAAGCTCCTAACTAGGTACTCTGGTTCTGTAAATCTAAGAACTATAAAGTTCTGTAACTRGTTTTTTTTTATTGTAACTAGTAAATTCTGTTGCATGATGCACACACACTGATGCAAAAACGATCATTTGAATGCAATTTTTTGAAAACTGGCATGAATTCTGAACACCTATATATCCAATATGAGAACGCAAAAGTATAATCAACACAATTTCCAACCGTGACTAATGATGAAAAGTTCAGTAGCCTTGGGTAAGAGCGCTTCGATGGAGACACAAAGAAAGAACCAATGAAAGGCAAGAGGTTGACACACTTTGAGCCAGCTGACTTGTGACAGTTCAGGCATGCTCAGCCATGACGCTGCTATATTTAGCTATAGTGCACAAATGCTTTCAAAAATAAAAAAAAGGCTAAGCAGCAGAGAGATTTCTTCTTCCTGCTTTAAACAGCACATTTACTGCTTGTATAAAGCTCATCTACTACCCATATAAAATGGAGCAATACATGTGTAAACCTTAGATTTGCAGTAAAACATTATCTGATTAAAAACACAGCATACCTCAAAAACAACTCAAAATTCCCAACATAGCTGTTCCTGAACGGAGTGTTCCAGCTACACTCACACACTTGTGCTCTGTTCAGAATAAAAAGGGTTTCTGCTGCACCGTTTCCTTTTACGTCACTGTGCTAATGCAGGTCAGCTGACAGCCGAACTGCTCTGCTGCTTCAATAAATAAATAAAAAAAGTCAAAGCAGAGTCCAGTCTTTAAAGAGAAGCACAACACTCCTGACCTTGACTTGCACACCTTTCACCCATCACTAAAGCAAACCCCTTTACGACTGACCACAGAGGAACAAGTCAGGTATTTTATCTGTTGTCATTTCCTTTTCATTCCAGACTTTTAAAATGACATTTTAAACTGTACTTTAATAGCAGTGCATTCTGACAAAATTTAACCCTAGAATAACCTTTCTGATGACACAACCAAACCAAAAAAAAAGAGAGAGAATACTTTCTCAGTGCAGATGTTGCTTTATTTGATGCTTTGACTTTCCTCACTGACCATCTGCAGAGACCCTTCAGAATGACTATCATAATAAAACATACAAACACAGTTAAATATACAACACTATGTGAAATTTATTCTGAATATTCTTAATTGAAAAGTCTAATTAAAGTTGAATCAAAAAGACTTCAAAGGTTAATAATCACATTAAAAATGGCTAGTGAGATGTTTAAACATAATGAGTGGCTAAAATACAATAAATTATCAATAAATTGGAACAAAACTAAATTTATGATTTTTAGCAACAAAAAAATACACGACTCTATTACAATGTCCATAAATAACAATCTAGTGGAAGGAGTACATGAAGTTACATTTTTAGGGGTTGTCTTGGATCATAAGCTTAACTGGAAATCTCATGTAAAATATATAAAACTAAAACTATGTAAAAGTATTGGACTTCTAAATAAAGTAGAAATATTTTAGAATCATCAACACTCCAGACATTATATTACTCATTTGTTGCTCCGTATCTGACTTATTGTGTAGAGGTATGGGGTAACACACATAAAACCAACACTAAACCTTTGTTCGTGATACAAAAGAAAGTTATGAGAGTTATATATAAAGTGAAGGCAAGGGAACATACAAATACATTTTTTATTCAGTCAAACATCTTGAAACTACAGGATTTAGTTAATTTAAAAATTTTTGTTAGTTATGTTTAAAGCAAGAAAGACATTTTTGCCAATTAATTTACAAAAGTTTTTTGTCTTAAGTTCAAGCGACAGAAATAACCGAAGGAAGTATGATTTCTAAAGTAAAACTGTGCGTACTACTTTAAAGCAAATGTGTATCTCGGTTTATGGAGTAAAATTATGGAATAGTTTGGATGATTATTTGAAAAAATGTTTTACTTTAAATCAATTCAAAATACTTTATAAGGAAAAAATGATTAAGTCTTATACACTTTTGAGTTAGCAATGATGAGAATGACATATTGTTTGCAATTTATATTCTGGATTTAATGTATGCGGCCATGGAAAATACTAATAATTGTAATTATTGAGAAAGGAGCAGGTTTATACAAGGTTTCTCTTTTTCCTGCTTCCTTTTCACTCATGTGTACTAACTGTTAGAAGAAAAACAAGTTTTGTATGTTAATGATGAAATTGTTGAATGGAGTGAATAAACTTATTGATTGAAAACCAGAGCTGGATAAAACTTAGACTAACACCACYMCTCACAAACGCCTTGAGAACWGCAGGATTTGAGCAATCAGGCAGAACAGCTCTTACTTCATCAGATGCAGAACGGAGGCATTGCACTGCGGCTTGCTTCTTCATTTCCTCTAGACTCAGGTCGGTCCCTCCTTTCTTCTTGCTCTTGCCCCATTTCTTCCCAGTTCCCTTCTCCCAKCCCAGGAAGATGTCGTTTTCCTGCCAAATGAAAGGAAAGGACAAGGCAAGCTAATGTTAAAAAGCACTGAATCARCTGCAACACTGCTCTCTAAACAGGTAAGAAAATTTCAGTTAGGAACTGTGTACAAAACTGTTTAATCCTAAGATAAACTGTGTTTCAAAGTGAAACAGAAAATGAACTCAGCAGTGATAAAAAGGTCACSATGTGAAAGAAAACCCTGTAGTTAATCATGCTAAGCAAACTGCTATATTTTATTTTGTTTCCGGTCTCAGGAGCCCACCTGGTCCTGCAGGTCATAGTCGTAGCTGTCATGCAGGAGAAGGCTGAGAACGTAGCGTGTGTAGATCATGGCATCGATCCCACACTTCTCAAGCTCCTGGCCGAGCCAGCTTTGCACCGGCCCRAGCGACTGGAGGAGGGACATCTCTGAGGCAGGCAGGGGCCCCGCGAGGGGGTAGGGGCAAGAGAGGTTCTCAGGAGGAGCGGGACCGTCTGAATCGGTGCTCACTGGACGCATGGGAGCTCAGGTGTTGGCCATTCTCAGGCAGAGCGGCATGGTGACAGGTAGTTACTGTAGGGTGGTGGGTGGAGGAGCAAACAGCGAGAGGATGAGGCAGGACCTATCTGGATGAGGGGGCTGTCACTCCAGAAGGATGCGCTGAAGGGGTTCTACATGGGGAGGCATGTAGGAGGGTGGTTTTTTTAAATTGCTTTAAGCAACAAAAAAGGGATTTTACTCRTGAGGCATGGCTTATGCTGCAGAAAGATCTCAGCTGCTGAGCAAAACACAAAACACTCAGTCAGACGAGTCCATTTTGGAACAGCACTTTACTCCACTGGCACAACCTGAAACAGAGAAAACAAACTGATCAGGTTTTCAATAAACACTTCCAAATGTTAAAAGGTAGAAAGTAGAGAAGAAAAGGAAGTTTTAAGTTCAGAATAGTGCATTAAAGATTTTSACACTATCTTCAGGAACTAAAGAGATGTTCTGACCATGTTTGGGGCTCTGTGGAAAAATTACCAACAATTAATATCTTACAAATAGCTCATCATAAACACTAGTTCTTTGAGCAGTCTGCATTTGGAGAAGTAACTTCAATCCTGACGGGACCGATTAAGCTAATCCAAGCGATGTGCTGTAGTCTTAAAAGAGCTCCGGTTCAAAAACTTTACTGTGGTTCATGTAGATATTTTATAAACACCTGATTTTCTGTCACTCAGTTCTTTTTACACAGAATCTTGTGTTGGCCATCATGTAAAAGAAAACAGTAACAATCAGCATGAGCACTTCCAGCTGTAATTTTCTTTTTTTTTTTTCTAGAATAATTGTGCAGTGGGAATATTATGTAGAGATTTAAAGCAGTAATCGGATTTGGACCACAGTGATGAGCAAATAACTCCAACAGACTAACCTCTGAAGTGCCATCTTAACATTACATTTACTTAGATATTCAAAATTTCATAACAGTTCATGCAAACGTTATAATACACCCTTTTTTATCACAATCAATGATAAATATTAGGAATTTCCTGCAAAAATGGACATCAGGCTTCACAAAATGTTATTGCTCACTGCATTTGCCACAATTTGTGCTTATATAGCCATGGAGTTACACAAATATAGTAATATAGTAATAGTATAGTAATAATATAGTACACATTACGGCAAAGGCTGGTTCACCCCAAAGATCCGGTGCCCCGGCACAAACAGAGCAATGTTGTATATGCTGTTAAGTGC